TAATCCCAAAGGAAAAAAGTCATAGGTTGATCCAGGCCAACCAGCAACGTTCACTTCGAGGCTCAATATTCGCGGTTCAAAGATATTGCTGTGTATTTGATAGAATCAAAAAGGTGTTGTGTGCTATGAACTGTTAAATCCGAATGAGACTGTCACCGCTGATCATTATCGACAACAATTATACAAATTGAAGCGAGCATTGAACTAAAAACGATCACCAGTTGCGAGTAAATGACGCAAAGTGATTTTTCTGCACGACAATGTTTGACCTCATGTTGCATCAGCAGTGAAGCAAATGCTGGAATTAGAGCTGGAATGGGAAATCTTACCGCACCCTGCGTATTCTCCAGATATTGTTCCATCCGTTTATCACTTGTTTCAGTCAATGTAACATGCTCTAGAGCAGGGGTTCCCAACCGGGGGTGCTCGTACTCGCTGGGGGTACGAAAAAACATTCTTGGGGGTGCGAGGAAAAGTGATTGTAATTAATAATGATTAAGACGACTTCTGGAATAATCCAGCATTTTTACCATCAAATTGAAAAAAATGTTATTAAAATTATATATTTTTTACGTATCTGTACGTATATATTCATTACGCATCACTATGCGAAGCTTTTGATACCATAGATAATAATTTTATAATATTAAAATGATAGCTAATTTCTATAAAACAATATTATGTGATAATAAATTATTATAAATTAACTTCTTACCTTAAAACCCTGACAATTAAGTTTTACCATGAAGCATATGAATAATTTTTTCTGTATGGGGTGCGAAGGTTCATTAATAAATTTTTAGGGGTGCGAAATACAAAAAAAGTTGGGAAATCCTACTCTAGAGGATACGCATTTTCATAACTTTGAACAAGTGCGAAAATTTGTTGAAAATTGGATCAACTTCGAAAAAGAATCTTTTCATCGTCGCGAAATCCATCTCTTGCCAGAAAGATGGAAAAAAGTTGTAGGAAACGAAGGAAAATATTTCGATTGAGGTATTCGTTCATTATCTTGTTCAAGTAGATCAGTTTTTGAGAAAAAAAACTCAAAACTAAATCACATTCCTAATATCACAAGATTTGCGATAACTCAACAATGAGAATGAAAGGAAGAGAGGTTATGACCGGCACGTGACGAATTCGATTACGTAAAGCGATTACGCAAAGCGAAACATTGTTGCCGGGACAGCAACAATTCGACGATCATGGACGCAGATTAGGTTTGATAATCCGGTGGATTAGCAAATTATTTCCCAAGCCCGACCGCGTCATTCGAAATCACCAGGTGGTCTCGCGAAAATCTCGATCCGGCGATTTTCGGAAATGCAAATGTCCGCGCGAAACAACACGCGCTCGACTGACGTCAATTTTCGAGAAATCAGCGCGGCAGAACGGAGCCACGACCCCGCTCCGATCGGACACGCGAATTTATCTTGGGCGGCGAGCGGGATAGATATGCTCGCGGAAGCGAATTTAAAAGTCAATGGCCTGTAAACATTAATGCCTCGAGTAACGAAAGATAGCGAAGTGCTTTGTTACGGGAGTTTATGAGCCCCTTTATTGCCACCGTGATTTCTTCCCGATTGCCGAGCGTGCAGCCGGCGTAATATCGCTCTGTTGTAAGTCTACCGATTTAGCTCGCGAGGGAGAAGTTAACCGACGTCGAATCGTCTCTCTCTCTCTTTCTCTCTTTCTCTCCCATATCTTCGCTTCGTTACGTACAACACGAGCCCGAGATGATTATCGGCCGTCGAATAACAATTTCTCAGAAAAGCGACCGGTGTGGAAAGGCCGCCTGACAATGCAGATCTGTTTCGGCTTTAGAAACCCGCGGCTTCATTAGACATCGTCAAACATCTCGTATACTAATCCATCGTCGAGAAACAATCGCGCGTCTGTTTTACCCGCGAGTGCTTCTCACATCGTTTTCCTTTTTTATTCGCAACTAAACGTTATAAACGCGCCATTGGCCCCCTGAGTCTTATTCGATAATCACGCTTTGTCAAAATCCGCAACCTTCGACTTGAGTTTCTTCTCATTCGCGGGCGATGCGATTTGCATTTAAGTGTGCGGCTCTGTGAACGTTCAAATTGTAATAATAATAATAATCCTTATTGACGCACAAGCATCTTTTGATTGCATAAGAGAGAAACATACAAGAAAACAAAATGAGAGAGAAATTATATAAATATCTATCAAACAATAACAAAATAAATATCGAATATATTAATGATCGCGTTAAATTCAAACGTAAGTAACCATAAGTGAATAAAAAAATAAATATGAAAATATATAAGTATAGAAATACAAATTAATTAATTAAAAGGTGGAGGCAAGCGTATATGGAAAGTCGCAGTAATTGAAAACCTGAACGATGATGGCGACCCATCGAAGGACTTTAGAATATAAAAGCTGTTTAAACGACATGGCTTGGAATAAAAAATCTTACGACGTTCAACATGAAAAACGGAAAAGTATCTAAAATATCTTTCGGAGAATCATTTGGTTTCAGACGTTTCAAAACACCAAGACGATCTACAAAATGATGAAGAAATTTCGAGACAAGAAATGGCTCGAAAAATTGTGCACATTCACCGCTCGACGTTGAATGTCCTGTTGATGATCAGCCGTCATTCCACGTCGCGATGATTCCTTTGCATATCATTGTTCCCAAAGTCATGTGACCTTCAGCTGATGAGACGAGCCTAAGAGACTAACGTTAAGTTACGCACGCACATTCACGCGTATTGAACATTTCCTTCGTCATGATATTAATATTGCACTGACGCTATATTTATTTGCCCGTCGAGACATTCTTAAATCGTCGAGACACGTCATCTCCGCGATGACAGTCGCTCGCGGCGATATTATCCGATACTCGATCGAGCGTCGGGAAAGCAAATCGACATCTCGAAAAACAAGCAACGAGAGATAACACGACTCTTTCAGGATAGAGAATCAATAAATGGCTCGTCGCCATCGAATAAATAAACGGACAAACGCGCGGTGTCGATCGGTCGGCTCAGCAGGTATGCCTTCTCTCTCCTTTCTCTCTCAGTCTCCCTCGTGGATCATTAGGAATAATGAAACGATATAAATTTGTTAGCGCTAGGTATATATACGCGAACTGTTTCCACGAGGGAGGGCTCGACATCGATTCTGATAAAGCGGCGAAAATAGACGCCGTGCGGATTTCCGCGCGATGAAATTTACGGCTCCAGCCAATTCCGCGAAAATGGAAGAACGTCCGCGAGGTTTTATTCGGCCGCGGTGCTTTATCGGCGCCCCTATCGGGACTCATTTGTTTTTGCTTATCGCGAAGTTACGTGACGGAGCAACCGTAAATATGACGGACGGGTGCGACGATGGGATCTCCGCGCCGTCAGAACAAACGCGCTCGCCACGGACGAGCCCCGAAAATCTCCCCGGCGCAGCGCGGCGCGGCGCGGCGCGACGGCTCGATTTAGGGGCTGAACGTCGAGAGGGAAGTCTCGAGGCTGAGAGGGGTTGACGTTCGACTGCGAATCGATATACCCGAGCTACCTGCATGCGCGAACAAACCGTATCTCCGGACAGCACCGGGAAGAAATGGCCGAAATTTCGGGGCTTTCGTATTTTCGCTTGTCCCATGTGCGCTCGTCGCGATCGCGATTTAATCTTCTCAGGGGTGATTTACGTTCGACGTGTTTTGTCCTATCTCCGCCGAATGTAATTAAACCTGTGTACAATAATTACGGCACTCGTCGCAACTGTCGTGCCGAAGTTATTAGCGATAATAATAACGATATCTATTGACGGCTACGCGCATCTCCTCCGATTACGTGAGAGGAAAATGCAGGAAGATAAAAAAAAAAGAGAACAAATCACACGCATGCTTAACAAGTAGGAATAAAACGGATACCTAACATGTTAATAATTAATAGAGTTGCATTAAATTCATCTGTAAGCTCATACACGTAACTACAAGTAAGTAAAATAAAAAAAAACTACGGGAAAGAGGACTGAAGAAAGAAAAAGAATATGTATGTAAATACAAAAGCATAAATTTTGAACCATTAAAAGAAGAGGATAGATATATAAATAAATATAACATATAAATAATACACATAAATATACACATAAATATAAATAAGTATAAATGATACACATAAAACGTAATGGAATAGCAGTTAGAGATCAGTAACAATATTATTAATAAAGTTATAGCAAGCGCTGGCACAAAATGTAACGGCGGTAAGTAGAAAAAAAATAGCATCGAGAATGAATCTTGGATTTCGCAATTTTCCGGAACAATTTCAAAGAAACCGAAAAGTTCGGCGAGGAAGCCTCAACTTTGCGTCTGTCGTTAAAGGACAACGAACGTGCAGAGAGGTAAGGACTTTCCCACAACTTTCCCACGACGGTTCCCCGCCGTAACGTGTTCACCACGGCACGACCAAACGTCACCACCTCCTCCGGTTTATCAGCGCCATTTAATATGCGGCGACAATTGAAAACTATCTTTCATCCACTCTTTCTCTCTCTCTCTCTCTCTCTCTCTCTCTCTCTTTTAATGTTTCTTTTTTTCAATCTTAATCACCCCGCCTAATTGCTCAATTGCGCTCATTACCGTCTCCGACGCAGTAAAGCGAGCGGTGATTAAATCTCTATTCCCCCCCTCCCCCGAACCCGCGCGGCGCTCGCGCTCCGTGACGGCGCGTCGCGTTTGCTACAGGAGAAACTTATCCCTCGCGGTGTACAAAAATCGGTGTATAGATAATTCCGCCTGCTCCTGCGACCCGGCCATGGGGCGGAGCGTCGCGAGGAATGCCCCTGCTGCTAGCTGCCAGCCTCGCCCCGTTTTCGCCCACTCCCTCTCGCTCTATCGTCCGGACTCCCCACTCTGCTTGGGACAGAGCTCTCTTCCTCTAACGACAGCATCGACCCCACCATGAGTAGCCGGTCGAAGGTAAAAGGAAAAATCAGGGCGGTGCTGGCTGGTTGAACGGTCAAACTCAGTCCACACGGAGAGCTCGGCTTGGCTGGAGGCTACCGGAGAGTCCTGGTCATCAGCGATCATTGATCCAACGGACCTGTCAAAGGCCGGACGATGTCCTTGGTGTAACGTCGATGTGTCTTCGCGCTACATCCTCCGAATTTGGACTGCTGGCTGGCTAGTTACCTGGCGAACGCTGAACCCGACCTAAGCTGACTCCGGCTTTTCGCGGGAGAACGTGCGCGAATCAGTGAGAGAGACGTTGGTGAAGCAGTGAACGCTACGGGTAGACGAATCGCGAGATGAGCGGCTAGCCGCTCTGGACTTCTTCGGCCCGAGGAGGCACCGAGAAACATCCCTGCGACCACGAGAGCAGTGTTAGTCGGCGTGCAACGTGCCCGACCGTCATCCGAGAATGACAGTACTAAGGATGACCTCGCCGGTGACGCCTGCATCGACCAGTCCCGACTCGTCAGACGAGACTCAGGCACTGCAGGCGAGCGCCAGGCCGGCTCATCGATTGAGCTTCTCCGTGGCGGCCCTCCTGGCGGATACGAGGAAGCCGTCGGAGCCTTCAACGAGGCAGGACAGCCTGTTAACATCGCCCAAGTCCTCACCGGTCGTCCCGTACTCGCCGCTTCGACATGAGCCGCGCATCACCACCGTCAACTCGTCGTCGCTCATGCCAAAGCATCCCTATGAGTTCAAGATGTCCCGGTGCATCTTCTCGTCCTCACCCGGCCCCAATCACGAGGCCAGGCTGACGCACTGCGTGTCTCCTCCCGGTGCCTCGGACTCCAGGACGTCACCGAGGTACCCCGAGGCCATCGACTTGGCCGGCAATGTTGAGACATCCAGGCGACCCACCGAAGGAAGTGTGGATTATCGCGTGCGTCTCAGCACCACCGACACCAGGACCACCCCGGAGTCCTTGGTGGGCTGCTCCTCATCTCCGAAGATCAGCCAGCAGGACACCGGCTCGCAATCGCCCCGGAGCAGCTCCCACGGCGAGGCCCGCTCGAGATGCTCCGAGACGGACGACGTCGAGGAGGACGACGAGAGCAGCCTCGTGGACGTGGAGGATCTCCAGAACCATGCGTCCAGCCCGACTCCTGTCAGGCCGACGCCAGCCTACCTCGGCGGCTTCTCCACCCTCGGAGGCATCCCCGGTATCCCGCCCAGCCTGCACCCCGCGGTCTGGGGCGGCGGCCACCAGAATGCAGCTGCAGCCGCCGCAGCGGCCGCCGCCGCTGCCGCGACGGCCACATTTTTCCCGTCGCACTTCTCTCATCATGCTCCTCTCAATGGTGAGTGCCAGTCTGACTAACGATCCGTCGCTCTCTCGATCTCGTCGAATGACCACGCTGTAGAGGCCACTTTTGACCTGCGCGTGTCGTTGAAGGGTCGTTGAAGGGTCGGGATACTTTGCGAGGCAACGGCGATGTTTCGCGATTACTAGCTTAATCCTGACCCACAATTTTGTTTTAATCCGCAAAGTAGTCGTAAATAAATTGACCAATCACAGTCGATTGTCACAAGAATAGTCGACTGTAGTAGGCCAATTCGCTTACGGTTTAGAGCTTAAGGCAAGATTGTGGACTAGGACTTAGTGTTGGTCAAGCTCGCTTTAAGCTTTAAGTCGTAAGCAAGTGACTAGTCACAGTCTTAATCTTTGACCGTGAGGAAAATAATCGGTTGTAATTGGTCAATTTGCTTACGCTTACGGCTTAAATCGAGGTTATGAACCGACATTTATGGCACGAGCAGAAGCAACGTCCTTTCGATTTCACTCGTCTCATCATTGACGATCTCGGTCAATATTTTAATGATCCGAGGCGAGTCTAAGATTGCCAGATGTCCTCCTTTGCGGCGGATTGTCTTTCTTTCTAGCCAAATTTTCATGTCCTGCCAAGGACGCTATTTGTTCTGCTCTAACGCGTCGAAGGGATTTTTCCTTTTTTCTCGCTTGTCGGATATGCTGCTGCAGTGACTTATCAGAGTCACTACCTAAAATAACAATCAATAAAATATCAATAACAAATATATAGTCTATAACAATGTCAATAACAAATATGCAAGATATGTAGATATATAAATGTATACATATGCAGTTGATACTTGACGTTCGGAAAGATAACAGACGCATTCCATACCCGACGACCTTTTCTTTTTTTAACTCATCGAAATTTTCGGCCGTCCTTCCCTATCAACTAGGAAATCTGACAATCCTAAGCGAGTCTCACAACTAAAGAATGCTTTACTCTAGTTATTGAAGAAGGAAGAGTGCAGGCACGAATTGGTCGCGAATCATAAATTGCGGGGATTCTCTTACGTCGAGGTTGATTCGCGGTGGAACGCGATCGAGCTTGTTGCAATGAACAAGGTAGAACTGTAGAAACGTCATGTACTCGGCGACGACTGCGGGTGTCTAATGACTTGCGCTTCGGTTGTGGGCGGATCGTGAATAGAAAAGGACGAATAGATCATATCTCGATGTTTCAATGCCGAGACGAAAAGTGGCAGTCGCTTTCATCGCTCGGAGGAGTGGATCTCTCCTTTCGGGTCGCAGTCGTTATTTGTTCCGGTTCTAATTTTCAAGGGCCGTACTGTTTATCCGCCGCTGCGACGACAATCGTGTTTGGGATACAGTCTTTGAACGTTGGCGGAGCGCCAATCACCGTGTCGGTGTTTCTTGGCGAATTCTTTTCATGGTTCATCGCGGCTAAAGCGATTACGCGGTTACAAGCGCGGTTTACGGATGGCAATTTCTCGTCGCTATATTGTATCGAGACAACTCGGCTTCTTATCGATACGTAATACCGAACGTGACGATACTCTTGAGAACATAAGCCCGGCGAGAGAGGCTTGATCGTCTCGCGGCAATAATCGAATGAGTGTACTTTCTGTTTACGATTCTGCAGCCTCGATTAGTGGCAATCGGCGATCTCAAAGCGAGACGGCGAGACTGGATAATTATCTAGAAATTTGTAGATCACGAATGTAAACGCGATGCCGACAGCCACGTCACGCAAAAAAGAATCAAACGCAGTCAGGTAGAATTATCTTCATTAATAAACAAGTCTCGAGTGATCAACTGCGGAACTTATTAGTCAGGCGATTAATGAATTGCAAAACTCGAGCGTCGAAGGAGCAATACGCGTCGTCACTTTGGCTCGTTAAACGAGCGAGTAGAGAGACCTAGCGCTGAGCCCAAGTGCGTTTTGCTCGACGAAACAATGGATGATTATCGGAGGAAAGGTGTCCCGAGACAAATCGAGCAATATCGACAAGCGAAAATTGATTTTCTAACGGCCACCTCGGCCGCCGCTAAACGATAGCCTACCGTCGCGTCGCTCGACCGCATCGAACGATTCTCACGTGTTTCTCGTTTGATCGACGGTTCTTAGAGCGGATTCACACCTTGGCGGAAAAGCAGAAAACAGAAAAACAGAAACCAATCAGAACTCGCGCTGGTAGTCTGTCTCTCTCACAAGAGACTATTAGCGTCTCTCTCTCTCTCTCTCTCTCTCTCTCTCTCTCTCTCTCTCTCTCTCTTCTGCTGTTCTGCTTTCTGCTTTTCTGCGTGAAGGTGTGAATCCGCCTTTACGCAAGAGATCGCGCGAGACGTCGATCGAATATCGGCCGACATTCTAACCTCCTACAACCTACTTGTCGATCCTCGGATGTTCCGACACTTTCATCGCCGAATTCGCCGCCTCCTTTGCCAGTCAATTTTCTCCGCTTTATTTTCGCGGTGCGACGTGTCAGCTATATGCGGATCTCCTCTCATCGATTCCTTATGCAAACAAGTTAACATGGATTTGTTCGATTATCATGTCTCCGTCCCGAAGAATTTCTACCGTCGAGACTCTACAGCGCGGTCTGTCGGCAATACTCAGCTGCACTAACGACCGAGTGATGTATAATGCCACTAAAGGAGCACATAAACAAGAAAGTTTCGCTCAAGAGCGAAGATGGACTTGCACGCTCGCGTGGTCTTCGCGAGCGTGAAAAATCCCCGGACGAGATCCCGGGCGCGGAATATACGCGGCGGAACGCGCCGTAATTCTGAAATATGGACTCTCGCGTGGAGGGCACTTTCACACACACACACACACACAGCTACCGGGGCGCACCCCTTCAAAGTTTTACGCCGCCGCTCTTTCGCCGTGATTATCCTAAATAAGTGATTCCGCACCGTAAAAAGGAGTTTACCGCCAAGGTGATACAGGTGCGTGTCGTGCGAGAGCACGCGGGAGCTCCTCGAGCCTACGGCTCGCCGCCGGCAAATTTCTCGCGGGACCAAGCTAGAAAAATTCTCCCCGGAAATTCCTCCCCCTCCCCCCTCCCCGCCTCGCGATACTCGAAACGAACATCGAAGCGTCGCGGCGAAATTGGGGCGGACGACGTTCTCGCACGCGACGACAAAAGGTACGACGACCGCGTCTCTCCCCCCCCCTCCATCCCCCCTCCCTCCTCCTCACCCCCCTCGCGGAATAGCGGACGCTATCTCAGCGGAATCGGCTAATTATTTCGAATGCGCATTCCCGATCAACCGGGCAGGCCTTCGCGGCAGCATCGAAATCAGCTCCCGCGTTTTCGGCGGCCCTACATCGCGGTTAGGGGGGAGGGAATCGGGGGGAGGGGCTCGAGATCACCGGATGCCGAGACTAATTGGAACCCTTAGCGAGCGGTGAGGAAACGTATACAAAGGACAATTCCCAAGTAGGATCAAGCATGGCGCGTTTTAAGTCTTCGGGTTTGATGCGCGGGGAATCTCGCCGTGCGCGGGGCAAGAGGAAAAGGGGACTCAGGGCGAGAGGAGAGATGAGCGAAGGGCGATTCCGACGACGAATTTGAAATTCAGAGTTCTCTCCGCGGCGGAACTCTCCGGCAAGACGACGTGGCCTTTTGTCTCGCCGGGATCTCCGCTCGCTTCCTCTCTCTCTCTCTCTCTCTCTCTCTCTCTCTCTCTCTCTCTCTCTCTCTCTCTCTCTCTCTCTCTCTCCCTCTCTCTCTCTCTCCCTCTCTCTCTCTCTCTCTCTCTCTCTCTCTCTCTCTCTCTCTCTCTCGGCACAGAAGCTGTGTTCGCCTCCGCTCTACAAATCTGTCAATTGTCTCGAGACAAATCTCGAGGAATATAACCGATATATTCCAATACCGCGGGCGCCCTGTACTCCTTCCTGCTTCGCGGGTGGCTCGACGCGCTCTCGATCATCCTGCACGTGTCGTGGAAGCGCAAGCGACGTTCCTCGTGTGACGAACGTTTGGCTGCCCCGAGCATTCACGTGGACGTATTTAAACGTCTGTACTTGATCCCGAGTGCGTGTTATGAATATCGAGAGAGAAAAAATGCCAGGACAGTTTTGCGTTCTATTGACGAGCGACGGGCAAACGCCGCGTAAACCACGGGAAGGATGCGATGACCTCCGCAGCTTGTGTTTATGAATGGATTTATATATATATAAACGAAATACGTGGAAATGAGATAAATATATATACAGACGGACTTGTATGTATATAAATAATTTCTAAACAGGAAAAACTTTCAATGAAATTAGCAGCAATAATTCACTTCTTTCTGCTTCCAGTTAAATATAAATGCTTCTACATAAATTTATCCCATTTTTATATACATATATATATATATATATTATTTATAGATAAATTTCTTGCAAATAGAAAATTAAGAAAATTTATTTATTCTTTTTATTACAATAAGAAACTTAGCATATCTTTATTATCTTTATGTGGATATTTCCATTTATATCAGGATTTTACTTACTGAATATTTAAATATATATAAATATATATAAAAATTTTATTTAGTATCACTAAATTATAAACTATATGTATATATGCGAAAATGCGATAAAAACGCTTCGATCGGCATTGACCGCGTCCGTAAAGCAACGAAACCTCGCAAACTCGCGTCTGTCTTTGCTCTCGACTTGAGTACGTTGAAAACGAAGCAGGCAGGAATAAAATCCGGATCTGCCTAAGCAGGACTCAGGCCGCGCGAGATCACGGCAACGACAAAGTGACGCTACGCTAAGCACGGCGACGAGCCGCGTGTTCTTGAACGTGCAATTATAAGCGACGCGGCTTTTTCCAAACGACGAGCGCGAGGAATAATACGGCGGCGGCCTCTCGGCGCGGGAGCGACGCCTTCCCCTTCGAACTGCAGGCGTTACGATCGGCGCTCTTATGCGAGCGGTAGTCGCGAGGCCCGGCCGTGTAGAAACAATTCGCGGCCGGAATTTTGCGGTTGGCCGGCAAAAAAGTAATGGGGCCAGTTTGCGGCGCCGTTCCGACGGAAAAATTATGAATTGCGCCCTAAAAAGATGCGTTTGCCTTCGCCGGGCTGTTCCGTCCGCTCGAGGCCGGCAAAAACGGGGCATTGCGGTCTCGGGGCCCTTTCCGTGGCTGGCCTACCGGATCCCCGCGGAACACCTTCGCGGTAGGACTATCTGTCCGTCAGTTTGTACATACGAGAGTAATGCTCGTCGCTGTTCCCCGCTGGACGACATGCACTTCGACTGAGACGGCGCTCTTCCTTTTTTCGCTTGCAGAGAACGGCGAGCCGGCCAAGATCAAGTGCAACCTGAGGAAGCACAAGCCCAACCGAAAGCCCAGGACGCCCTTCACGACCAATCAGTTGCTGGCCCTTGAGAAGAAGTTCCGGGAGCGACAGTACTTGAGCGTCGCCGAGAGGGCGGAGTTCTCGTCGTCGTTGAGCCTCACGGAGACGCAGGTAAACATCGATCTCTCCTTCTTCCCTTCCTCACCCTTTCTTTCTCCTTCCCCAGAAAGAGAGAAAGAGAGAGAGAGAGAGAGAGAGCGAATAAATCGACCGAATGCTAATTCCTCGAGACTCAAGAGCGCACTCGTACGTCCGACTATCCTTATTCTGAACGGGCTGACGCTGTTTATGTCCCGACATGCCGGCGATAAGCTAAATTCGCTTAAATAAAAATATGGATGTAAATATTCATGAACCACGAGAGAAGCGGAGATGGCCCGCTTATTATACTAATTGACCAATTTCGCTAACTCCTTGAATTTTCTCAGAGACGTGTCCTTTCGCAAGTCTGCGCGGACTTTGTCGCTCGGCTCTCCAGCTTTCTAATTAACTCGTTCATCTCATTTATCCTCCCCCCCCCTCTCTCTCTCTCTCTCTCTCTCTCTCTCTCTCTTTCGCTCACTCTCGCTCGCTCTCACTCTCTTTCGGTGCACACACAAGCGCGCCTGAGAATTAAAATAGCGTTTTATCAAATCCAGTCGTGTTTAATATTTGAAGTCGAGGCTGTGATAAATCCTGCGCTCGTTACACAGTCAAATCAGCGCATTAGCAATGCGGCCCGTCGTTAGAGTTGTCGTTTCCCCGGGTGAGCCGCGGCAGTCGATCCCCGGCGTCGTCCGCTTGAATTTCAAGCCGACGGCGGCGGCGGCGGCGGCGGCAGCGGCGGCGGCCCTCGTATCTTTCGGCACTTTTATTTCGCCGAGGCCGGCTGCCATTCACCAGTCAAAACAGCCTGTGCGTGTCTCCCATGCTTTGGTTATAGCTGGATGGCGCGCGCGCGCGGCCGCTACCAGATGCGCGGTAATTAGCGCACGTAAAACGCGCGCTACCCGGGAGCCGCGGCAATGCGAGGCAAAGAGGAGACGGTAATTTTATTAATAGACTACAAATTGGCTGAAACGCGTTCCGCGATAGCACGCGATGACCGGCCAATTATCTCCAGCTGAAAGCCCGACTCCGCCAACGATTCCCGAAAGGCGTTTCGCGTGTCATCGGACTCGATCAACGCACGAACGCGCGATTGCGAGTCTCACGGTCTGTCGTTTCCGCGCGACGGCGAGATGTCCCGGCGACGATTTGCGCTCAGAGTCCTCGACTAATTTCTTCGATACGGCGCTCGCGCGTCCCGTAATGTTACTTGACAGCCGAAAGCGAGCGTAGCGCGAAATACTTTTATATATAGAGTGTTTAAAGAAAAGGGTTCAAGACATTGTGGGGAGAATCGTGTCTGTAGGCTAAAAAAATAGGCTATTTTCACGAGCTTTTTATTTCGGAAACTAAGCGGACGATTGATTTCAAACTTGGTAGAAATAATAATATGTATCAACTTGTAAGAGTAAGTTTTTATAGTGTTATATGAATAATAATGTAGCAGATACACAAAAAATAACGTGACATGTTTAACCGTTTCATGGCTCGCATAAAATCTCGAAATATGGTAGACTGGGACAAAAACGCAAGTAAGATAATTAATGTACGAATTTGCCGCTATGTCGTCTGAAGGGAAATAAAAAACGAACTACTTTTTTGATAATTTTAAGACATTTAAAAATTAGATTTGAAAAATCGCTATAAAAATCGATAGTTTTACGGTAAAAATAAATATAAAAAATTAGTATTTTTTTATTTCGCTAGTTCACGTGATAAAGAGACATGTTTCGAATGTGTAACTACATGCTGAAGTCGATCGGTTCATTAGCTTGTCTCAAATTGTAGGGTTCAGTTAAAGCAGTCATTTCGAAAAAAACACATTTAAAGTTTCATGTACTACTCAATCATATTTGTAGTACTTACGTAAGTTTCAGCCTAATCGGCAATTCCAGGTCCATATAATGAATTCTTCTCGACTTCATGAAACTTTTTTTTACATTTCTAAGTTTCGTAGGATTGTTTCTGCAGCAATTGTATGACGAAACTTTGAAAGACCCAGTGAGCGCTCTGATTTTGACTTGTGCGCCGCTTCGAATAATAGGTTGTAACTTTCGTAATTTTCTGAATTTTTTAATACGGATTTTAGAATGAGTTTTTAACAACATGCATTTTCAGAAAATATAATAAAACGAATCAATTTTTTTATCCTAACGACAGGATTCCTTCTTTAAAGGCAAGTAGGGAAGAAGTTCTGATAAACGTGTGGGTCGAAAAATTAATAGCACCGGACTTATGAACAATTATTTATTTGTTTAATTGTAGCAAGTGATCTACTCACCTCTAATGCTTACAAAGTTTACACAAGATTTTTTACATGTCCTCCTCCTGTTTCCGCAAACGTTTTACATCTTCGTACCGTAGAATTGTGAACTCTTTCAGAAATTCTCGGCTTTGTTCTAATTATTTGACAGGCATTTTGTATTTTCCGATGTAATTTTATGTCGTTTATCGGTGAAGAGTACACCATGCTCTTGAGAAATCCCTATAAAAGAAGTACAGGAGATTTAAATCAGGCCCATGAAACTGGTTCACCTCGTCCAATCCATCTTTCACCGAAGGATCTATTTAAATGTTGTCAAACGCTGAGTGCAAAATGAGCTGGAGCTCCATCGTACATAAGCCCACAGCCGGGCTTAATTAAACTATTTGTTTTAATTAAAATAAATAATTATTCATAACTCCGACATTGTTAATTCTTCGACCCACATTTATTGAGACTTTCTCTCTTCCATCTTGTGAGGATTATATGTCTTTAGAGCCCTAAACCTTTTTTTTAAACACCGTGTATACATGTTTTACACATACACATTATACGTAGTATTACTAATATGTACAATTTACTTTCAATAAATAAAAAAATAACGTTGAAAAGTTTAATTAAAAAATTACAAATTACATACAATTACGATAAATATATACATAAACAAACATAGTAGACATGAAAAACAAGCAGACATAAAGAAGTAAAAAATCAAATTTCGAAGTAAAGTTTGCTATGAGTATAAGTTTCAAAACGCGTACACAAAGCAATATTATATTGTTTACAACAGTTATAACAAATGTTGTAGTTATCCATTTTGCGGCAGTCAACTAAAATCGACAATCGTACCGAAGAAGTTAAGACAGACGTCGATGAAACTAAAGCGAAAGGCAACCGTTCGTTTGCGACCGCGATATGTCTGAGGTTATTTGTCGGCTTCGGACCCGATCGATCGTCGTCGAGACGCCATCATGAAAATCGTGTTCTAAAATATTCCACCAGATCTCGACTTGCCCACTTTGCAACAGTGACGGGCGATCTCGATTCGATTTGCAGAAAATCGATTCCTTTCTACTCGATTTTTGCACAGGTCGATTTTTTGACAGAGAATCGATTTTCGACCCGTTAATATGCTTATTGATTAATGTGTTTCGTACAACGAAGAATTCAACTAGTGGCAACGTCCGAAAGAATCGATTTAAAAGATCGATTTTTAGAGAAGATCGATTTTCTGAAAATCGAATCAAGATCGTCCATCATCTGAGGCCATTGAAACTAATCAATCACAGTCGATTATTCCTCTAACGCAAGGAGAACAATCGATTCTGATTGATCAGTTTTCTTTCGATCTTACAATTATGGTTAAAATTCTCCTACGTGCAATGGCCTTAAGGCCCGGACACACAGAAAACTTCAAGCGGTAAAATGTAAGCAGTAAGTAAATTGAGCAATCATAGTTGAATATTTTTGGGCCGTAAGGAGAATATAATCAATTTTGACCAGCCAATTTCCTCGCTGCTTAAGTTTTTCTGTGTGTCCGGGTTGCGAATGCCGACGGACGGATGAGCGAATCTCGCGAAGCCGTCGTGAAGCCGGCGCGATTTATTCGCGAGGGGTCCAATGAACACCGAGGCAACCTCACATTAACGATAGATATCGACATCGACATGACCGGTACGACGATAATATTCCTTAACGCAGTGCGTACGTGATAAATTTCTCGGGTGCTAATTAATTTCGGCCGCGGGGACAAACACTCGTCCTCGTTCCTCTTCGCTTCGCGTCGGCTCGCTGGACAAAAAAGCGGCCCGGGATTCTGCCATCCAGCCACGGTGTGCCTAGCCATTTATTTTCCCCGGTATACAGATTTACGCTCGCGATACGCGCGCTATAATGTCGAGCGCTTGGAAACGGCCGATCGCCGACGTCATTGCGTGCCGAATGATCATTAAATCACGCCGACGCACTCGGCGAGCCGCGCTCCGCTGCGCATTAGTCGCCGCGCGCGTGCGCGTGCGCATGCGCGCGCGCGACCGAAACTCATCGCGCTAAATATTATGCCCTGCTGTAAATTCCGCGTGATTTATCGTTGCAGGTGAAGATCTGGTTTCAGAACCGGCGCGCCAAGGCGAAGCGCTTGCAAGAGGCGGAAATCGAGAAGCTGAGAATGTCGGCCGTCAGGCAGCATCACACCGCGCTCTACGGCTCGCATCCGAGCATCCTCACGCCGGCCGGCCTTTATCCCGTAGGAATGCTCTCTCACCCCGGCCTGACGGCTCACCACCCGATTGCCCAGCACCCCGCGAGAGAATGAGAGCAGCGGCACGCGATGGCCGAACACCCGGAGCGGCCTGTCGTCGAGTCGTAACACGAGAAATCAGTCGCGAGCTGTGGAAAAACGGGACATCGTGCCGTCGCAACGCGACGGGTAAAGGCCCGGCCACACGGAAGAACTCGTGCAAGAAGGCGTGAGCGGCAAACAAATTGAGCAATCGCAGTTGGATTTTCGGCCGGATAAGAAGAGTAATCAAGTGTTGACCAGTGAGTTTCCTCACTGCCTATTACCCGTATTCATAGTCCTTCCTTGAGAAATAAGGATTCCTTATTCCTCATTTTACATTTCATAAAACTTCCTTGATCAAACAAGAAGCCTTACTGGCATCTCAAAGAAAGTCACGAGCTTCCTTGAGACGGAAATTACCTTAGATCTGTTCGTTTTCGCTGCACTTCTAAACTAGTGCACAAAAGTGCAATAAGTTTGTAGCACATAATGCGCAGAATAAACCAAACATAACCTGCAACATTTTTGTCCCATTACAATTTATTTGTGATGTCGCGCTTTCAGACTGAAAGTGTATAAAGAAAAGAAAGGACAATGGACAACGAATTTTTAAATGATCCTGACAAAGGATTTTTTTTTCGATAACCTTCTCAGCGATAAGCTGCGCCAAGAGCATTCGCTCTTGCTCCGTATAATGTACGCTTTTATTATCTTTATCCATATTACAATATGCACTGCTAAACTGATGTTAAGTTATAGCTGCGATCCGATATCCACTGCTAGTACTAAAAATCTACAGCTCGTGTCACGTATATTATAAAGTTTCAATATTAACAATATCGGAATGTAGCCCTCTTTCCTTCTTTCCTTCCTTCCTTCCTTCCTTCTGGAAGGAAGACTCGAGATCTATTTATGAAATAAGGTGGCCTTGGAGATTCAAGGAATCCTTTATCGAAGCTTCCTCCATTCTTAAGATAAGGAAGGACTATGAATACGGATATGTGTCTTACCGCTCGAGTTTTTCTGCGTGTCCGGGCCTTATAATTCGGGGGATGAATCCGCAGCGGTCATTGGTCGACGAGGGCTTCGATCGCGCATCTCAAGGTGACGCTCTCACAGACGAGATCGCGTTTGCGCCCTCCGATATTAGGAAGCGAGAGTTTCCTCGAGCCCGACGGCGACTGTCCGCAGGAGGAGCGTGTGGGTTGTTGTAAATAGACTGTAAATATCACTGACTCGCCGTTTCAATCGCTTTTGTATATAAACGCCTAGTGGACTACCGCAAAAATGGCGCCGAGTTTGCGCAGTAATGCGCGAAAAAGCAGTGAATCTCTATTACGCATATTTAGAGAGAGAGAGAGAGAGAGAGAGAGAGAGAGAGTCCGAAGAAAGTCCGTTTTCCAATTTTGTATAAATGTAAAGAGTGATCGTACGGCACACGATTAGGAGAGTTTATTTAATAAATTGTATTGTCGTAATTAGCTGGATTTATTTGTCTTCTAGTTGCCTGACACTCCCGCCTTCTCGCCCCGATCGAATATTCCCAGCGAGCACCGAGCGACAGTTACGTAACTGTTAGTTGTAATTTCCCGCTCAACAATGTAATCTTTTTGTGCAACACACGTGTTGTATCGCACCTACATTGTTGAGCGGGAAATGATAAGTAACGGTTGCGCTGCTGTTTGTTACTTGCTGCTTGTCGGCTACTAAATCGTACCCTGAACGAACCGCATTGGTGTGTGTTGGGATACTTTATCGGTATTGCTCGCTGAACGACGAAAATTCCCCGCCGCAATCTCGAGATAAATCTTTCCTCGACGGGGATTACTACTTAACGACGTCTCATTAATGTTTAATGTCAGTGCTTAACATAACCTCAACGACTCTCGACAAAAGTGGGAAATTAAAATCGACCACACATTGATACTTGCGCGGCGTGAGGCACTTGGAGCGTTCACTCCAAGACACGCAGTTAAGGGCTTCAGAGACTCAACCGATAATTTCGCGAACAACCTCGGTATAATCGGACCTTCACTTAAAGTCCCAGCGGAGGGTCCAGCGCCGAGGGGAAAACCGACAGCGAAACATCGTGCGTGTAATTATGTGACGGAAACTATCCGTCACGCGTTTTCCCAGCTGCAAATAATAATTTACCATGCCACAATGGCCGTGCCAGCGGCGCGGGCAGAACGCCTAAGTCCACGTCTAAGTTTGAGCAGCTACGTGAGCCTAGCCGGGCCGTGCACCGGACGGCGATTACGCGAGCGCGATTACGCGGTATCCGAGAATGGCGGCTCTGTGCGTATATGTCGTTGGGATAAATTAGCCGTGGCAATTAGTTTCGGAATCAGCCTCGCCGGGTGGTTGGCGCCACCATCTTGATTGCCAGCGGGGAAGAGCCTTTAAAGACAGTAGCCAGCACTGTTTGCCGAAAGAGCCGCGCCGTTCGCGCGGGCTAATTAGCGATGCCCACCGAGATATCTCGCCGACGCACGCTAATAATACCGAGCATAAATATTCCGAATTTTTTCGTCTGCCGGGCCGGCTGCTCCTTCTAACCCCTTTTCCCCGAGCATCCGAGCAGTCGCTCGCGATATATCATTTTTGCATTAGTTAATTGCACCTTTGTCTCTTAGCTCGGCCGGGCAGGCAAGCGAGCAGCAGCCAAAAGTTTCAAGAAGCTTTGACCGGCGGGTCAAGCGTATGTAAAACCAAACGGAAACGTTGGAAAGCGGGACTTTATGGGACATGAGGGCTGTAGCTGGCGCGAGTGCCCAAGAGGTCACACCTGAGCCATAAAATGACGCAACCGGTGAAATTCTCAGGCGACGTCGAAGCGGTCGATACTTTTTCACGCACTTTACGCGCGACGGACAGGTTTGCGAGAAGTTACAGCCGCGGTCTTATTTGCTCGACGAAGCGGCCGCGTCGGCCGTAAAAACTGGCACTTTTCGAATTGATAGCGCGCGATTGTCAACAACTCTCTGTTGGCTTATCGTTCGCGAGAGGGTTATTATTATTTACAAAAATACGCGGCTCACAGACTCGCAAACTTATAATTGCTTCTTTATCTTATCATCTCCCCTCTCCCGTGATGCAGGCAATATTAACACATCGTTATAGAAACATGTATCATTACCCGCCCATTCACAATGCGTCATTAGACCGGTATTTATCGCGGAATAACTCTTTGTCTCGCGTGTGAGATGAGCCGGCGATACGATAAGAGCGCTTTAGATGGAAGTAACTCGTCCTTCACTCCGCTGCTCGGAGGTTTCCCTGTGGAAGCTCGACGCGTACACGCACTTGTAACGCGCCTGTAACAGTCTTTTTAATTAAGAGCCACGGCTCGCCTAGGGAGCCCTTCGCGAGGAACCCCGCGTCGGAATATTTTCCAGAAGGGAATGCTACGTGCCTGAATTTTAATCGCGCAATTAGTCGCCAGTCATTACCGCTTATACTCGCTTCGACCACTGCCTCGACAAAGTCAGATAACGTCAGATCTTATCGGGCGAGAGCTACCGTATAGGTTTTACTAGCCGCTTCGGAAACAGCTCGTGTACGCATACTTTGCGAGCGCTTGCTGTGCCGGAGAAAGATCCTCCTGCGTCTCCTGCATCTCGACCTTGCGCCGCGCAACAACATTACACTTGTTGTTAGGCAACGATTACACTCGGCAACTGATTCGTCGCGTCCAAACAACTTCAAATCGGCCTTAACCCCTCGTATGGCACACTTCTTCTATCCGACGGATTTCTGTGAAATCTTGCATTTTTATGTTCTTTTCCTTTGGCTCGCTGATTACTGATATCTGAAGTCAGATTTCAAAACTTCAAAATGGCAGACCCAATATGAAAGAAATATATTATTATAAAACACGTTTGTGAAATTCACAGAATATTGACAAATTGACAGTTTTTACCTCCACAAATTTTTTTCTAAAAAAAAATCGAGCGTGCGAAAATCTCTGAAGGAAATATATATTGTACTTTGACATGTGAAAAATATTCAGCAAAATTTTGAGCTTCTAATCTTAAATACTTTCCAAAAAACTAAATTTTTTCAAATCGCTTTCCTCAATTTTATCTATTTGTAATAAATAATTAAAAATGAATAATCGGATATAAAAACCATGGAAAAGTAAGTTTTAATATATTAGAGAAATGTGAAATCATTCTTATTTTATCAACAAACTGTAAACAATATATCATGAAAATGAAAGAGAAATGGATGGAAGATATATTTACTGCACCCGAAAAAAAATATTCTATTTGTAAAATGATTTTTCCCATTCTAACCATTAATTCACGATATTATTTTGTTTTCCTCTTATTTCAAGAGAATTTCCTCTTGTATCAATTAATTTTCCTCTTATATGAAAAGGAATATGTTGATTCGAATGTCAGCTTATTTTGTTCAGACATGCTCTACTTGCAGACATGAACGAAAAAATTCAAGGTCGAGGTCAAGGTTAAATTTGAGATCACAAAAAAACAGAACTTTGTGAACCCTAAAACTTTTGTTCGGATTATTTTTCTCTATAATGCATAGATTCTGAGATAGGTTAGGTCTGAGATAGGGAGGGGGACGATTCGTTACTTTTGGAAAACTTGGTATATTACTTTTCGCTATATACATTATAATAATTTTTTCAAATTAACCAATGTAACTAGTAAGAATAAAATACAGTAAAAATAAATGATAATCCTCCTAAAAACAGATTAAATAATCTGTGTATAAAAGAAAATTTATATTAAAATCAATAAGACTGATATAATACATGTAACATATAATTCTTCTAACCTTAAGAATAATGTGATTAATAATAAGAATAATATTTTCCTCTTAATTTTAGAGGATTCCTCTTGAGACCGTATATAAGAGTAATATCCTCTAAAATTTAAATGATTCCACTTGTTTCGAAATTACTTTTTTTTGGGCGGCACTGTTACACGCACAAAAGGTGAATGGCGATAAAAATTTCTCTTTCTAGCTCTAGTTCTAACATTGACTCTCAAGACTCCGGATTAAATTTAAATGGAAAGCATTGACATTGGATGCATCCGGTATAATGGCAACGTCTATGCCGGAGAAGCGCACTTCGACTGCGTCCCAATTACATTTCCTATGCAACTGATTAATATGTTTGTCACTTTCAACACGCACCTTGTTTCCATGGCGTGTATTCACGATTTCCATATAGAGTCGACTTAGTTCGAGCGAGCCGGCGGGTCAAGATCTTTATACGATTGACTTTAAAATAGAGATCGACTCGCATTATGAACTTCCCGTATGCCATTTGGGTTTCATGAAATGCCGTTAGTTTCTAAACGCGCGTTTTTCACGAGTCATCCTCGAGCCAATACACAAAAATAACAAGTTTGAGCGAACGAGTGCTCATCATCGACGCTCAATAACTGGCGCCTCATCAGCTACTCTGTATTTAATCGGAATGCTGCTATTAGATTGCGTTACACCCGGAATTATACGATTTCACCTGCGAATTGGCGCGCCTGATAAGCCTCACAATCGAAACACACGCACGCAATAATACTTCCTCATCGTTCCGCAACAAATTTGCAAAATATAATCAACCTTATCCTGAGCGCAACGCTTTGAAATTCCGAATGTGAATAATTCCATGCAAGTGTTGCATCATGTATTTTGTACCGTGTCAATGCCAATGTTGCGCGGTTTATTTTCTCAGATTATACTCCGCAAGTGATAATTTTATTCGCAACTGCGGCCGCCGCATTTTAATTTTAAAACGTGGAAAATTGCTCGACTGAGTCAGTTTAGCGCGTCGCCGACGTAAATACAAGACGATACATACTTCGCAGATTAATGATAATTTATATCATTCAAATCAATATTAATATCAGTTAGGCGCGTTAGTAAAATTTTAAAAAATATTTAAATTGTAAATAAATCGTAAATATGTATATATTTTTTGGAATAGATTTCCTAATTTTTCTATTAATTTTTTAGAATTTTAAGCTAATATAATCTAATCTAACCTAACCTTACTTTCCTTATTTTTAGCATAGAATAGACTCGTTTATTTAGGAAGGCGAAAGATTTCTCCGTAATGATCTGATTGACTACCAAATTAGGTTACATTAATTTAAAATTTTGAAAAATTAAGATCCATTCAAGAATATATATATTTACGTATACCATATATCCAAGCGCAAGCGGTCGGTCACTGTCCGTAATTGCTCATAACCTTGCCACAAACAACGAGCGACGGCCAAAACTTTTCGCAAGTTAGTCAAAGCCATGTCTTTGATAACACATGTCAAGGTCGATGAAAACGGCGAGATCGCCAAAGATATTATTAGGTTATTAAGTATGAAATGAATGATTTCGAATCAAAAGTTTGGTTTATTATATCTCAAACTAGAAATAGTACAATTAATCAATACAAAAGTATGCGCCTAAACTA